TGGGCAACTGAACAACCAAATATACAACTTTATCACTGGTCACTTTAAGGATCCATGCCACAAAAGGGAATCTGCAATAAGGTCAAAATGGAGTGACTTCAGGTTTGAGTCTTCTCTTTGGCAAAGTTCTCTCCAACAACTGGCACCAGAGTTTGGAAAAGCTGACCACTGATGATGCTGGCTGGAGAATTTTTGAATTGGTAGACTTAAAAAATAACTTTCTCAAGCTCTGTATTGGCACTCTCTTAGTGGTCCTACCGGCTCTTTAGGTGAGAAGGGCCAGCATTGATAACAATGCTGTAATTTGGGCTGGGTGTCTGTAAACCCATTGTCATTTCAGTTGCCCACAAGATACCCAGCTGGGCATAATTGTGGGGTATTGTGGTTAGTTACAATAAGATTGTGTATGCAGCAGGTCTGGGATCATCAGCATGCCATGTCAGGGCACCAAGACCCTAGCAGATGTCAAAAAATGCCAAGTGCTAATATCAGTTTTGAGTTAGATGCAGTAGTGATTGTTATGTGGGTATTTTGCTTTGATGTGAGATATATAAACCAAACTGTCTAGATTTTATTTTCTTTGTAACAAGGCAGCCTGTTTTCCAAGTATTTCTGTATTCCACAAGGCTCAATCTGATCATGACCTTCTGTTATCTAGCACAGTTTGTTCAGAACATAGGATGGGGAAGACTCTTAAATGTTTTATATTTATTGTAGTCAGAGTTTTCTGCCCTCTCAGAAGTGATTTAAGGACAAGTGAATACAGTGCTTATTAGCACCCTTAGGTAAGGAAATAATAGAGGTGTTAGCAATGAATTGGTGGATGCATTTATCTCCTATGGGTGCAGTGGACTGTTATGTGTCAGAGTCAAGAAGGGGGAAGGAGCGATATTACAGAGGGGAAGAGGAGGCTGGATAGAACTATTCTAGCATAATGCAATGCAGAATTTCTCAGCCAGGGTTCCCTGGAATTGTGGGTTTCTATGAGAGGTTGTTAGTGGTTGAACAGGAGATTGTGATTGGGGATCAAAGACCCTTTCTGGAGCTATCGATAAAATAAATTTTATGCAAGTGTTCCCTACCTGAACATTAATTTCAAAGGATCTTTGAGGCTAACTGCAAGAAATAAGCTGGTAGCATGAGTTTTCATAGACCTGAGCCTACTTCCTCAAATGCACAAAAACTCATTTGTTGTTAATTGCCCTCCAGTCGACCCATGGCGACCCTGTGGATGAGACATCTCCAAGACTCCCTGTCCTCCACTGCTCTGCTTAGGTCCTGTAAACTCATACCCATGTTCTCCTGAATAGAGTCCATCCATCTAGCATGTGGCCTTCCTCTCTTTCTACTTTCCTCCACCTTTCCTAGCATTATTGTTTTTTTCCAGTGAGTTCTCCCTTCGCATGATGTGCCTGAAGTACAACAGCTACCAGCTTCTTTCTTTCAGTTAGGTCCAAAACACACTGCAGAAGTAATCTAGTTTGAGACTGCCTTAACTGCCCTGGCTCAATGCTAGGGAATCCTGGGAATTGTAGTTTAT